AGGTATAATCAAAAGGTTATTAAACAATAAGACAAAAGTATATTATTTAAAAAAACTAGCGTTTATACATAGTTTAAGGTGATAAGAAACACAATAAAACGATTTATAAAAACTTTTTAGCTGACTAGACGGGCGTATAAATTATGACCTTTGCGTTGTAACTCCTAATCAACAAACCTTCCGCTACTCTGATTTAGTACTGAGGCTCCTTCTGACCTTCTATCGAATGAGTAAGCTACTGAAGGCCGTGGTTGCCAAATGTAATTTTTTTCTGAACTATTAGCAATTTTTAATACGTGCGGTCTTTTTGACCATGTAGCGACTAGTTAAGGGTTAATTTGTGAGCCTAGGTATATGAACTCTTTTACTCCTTCGAAAGTATATGTTCCGATGGTTAGATCTTCGGGTTGTGCTGCTTGTATATAATTTTATACTTTCATATACTTCGTCTTACTAGTATTAACCTCTAGTCCCATTATTTTTGTTGCTGCTTCAAGCGCATTGATGATTGGATCACGTCCGCCTTTCTTCTTGCAATAATGTCGATGTCTTCGGCGTACGCTAGTAATTGTACGCTGCGATTAATAATAGTTCCTCTGGTTGTTATTCCAGATTCTCTTATCGCTTTCTCTAGTGTAATATTAAATAGAAGGCATGATAGGCTGTCTCCTTGTCTATCTGAGACTATCTAGGGATTCATATTTTTTTACATCTAAGGTTTTTTACAATCTGTGTCATAATAAAAACAAGTAAAATTGTTTGTCTTAGCAATGTCAGGGAGATGTAAGGTCCAGTGACCAAAGCATCAGAACATAAATATTGGCTTGTTTACCGGTGGGATATGGGATGCGCACGTACATAGATACGCGAACACGAATACTAAAAGCGGCACAGACCACAATTGCTGAGTAACTTTTATTAATGTAGGCACTGTCAGGAATGTTTTGCTAGTTCTAAGGGATAATATCGCTTCAATCTCTTCGCTTGTTGGTTGTTGAGAAGATTGTATGCCAGGGGATACGCGCGCAACCTGTTTTGATATTGTTCAGAAATTCTTTTGCACTCTTCAGAGACTATTAGTACCTGCAGGTCTCTATGTAAGGCGCCATTCTGGTATCAAAGGGCATCAGCGCTTGTTCTTAGAGTTTTAGATTGAAATCTTCGTATTTTCATAACATTATATTTGCAAGCTGATCCTCAGAGCTGCGAACTATATGACCAAACGGGTTTTATGATTACTTTGTATATCAGCAGCTTATTGTCGATCGATAGGTGTAAATTTTTTCCCATCATCCAGTAAACTTTTCTGGATCAAATTCCTAGTTGTAGTTTTTTCGTCCATATATGTTTGGTCCATATTTTGTCCAGATGAATGCCTAGATATTTTACGTCATCTTTTTGGAGTAAAGGAAAAAGAGGCATCGAAAGAAAGAAAAACTCGAGGCTAAGGAATATAAGGGAATGGACAGGCTTCAATTTGGTCGTACTAAAGGACGTTCTTCTTCTTCAAGTGAGATTGCCAAACTCCGCTACGGAGGTTAACCGATGGCTTTAACTTTTATCCCAATCTCTTCTTCCTCCAATGCTTTCTGTATAATTTCTTCCGAATAGAGATTAAATAGCATTGGTAACAGCACACATCCTTGTCTAACTCCTTTTTTAATTTGAATTTCATTTGTTGTTCTATTTTCGATGCGTGCAACTGCCTTGTGATTATAATACAGAGTAGTATTTTATTCTTATATCGCGATTGTCTAACTGTTTAGCTTTTAAGATCTCTAAAAGTTGGTCATGCTTGACGTTATCAAACGCCTTGTTGTAATCAATGAAACAAGCAAATACATCTTGATTCACATCCAAACATCTCTGTGTCAAGATGTTAAAGACAAATAAGGCTTCGCGAGTTCCATATCCCTCCCGGAATCCAAACTGAGTTTCTCCGATATCTTCTTCCAATTATTATCTTCTTCCAAAGGACGTACAAGGTCGAAACGATTATTTCAAGATTGTCGCCAACATTTAGTAAATGAGTAAGGCACATTAATAAGATTCCTTTTTCGAAATCCATTGTCAAATTTAGATTTCACTTGTTATTGTTCACTGTTAATGTTAATTCAGATCAAGCATTTAAGGGTTTAAATATAACTAAAAGCCTGTTTTAAAAATAAAGTTTTCTTAAACAATCTCTTATTTTTGAAAATTTATTACCCGCTGTAAACTCGGCGAATTGTGAAATACAAGACTGATAAGAGTATTCAAGCAGGATAGAGATGGGAGTCAAAAAATATTGATGAACCAATACAGAATTCATGGAAAAATAAACTGTACCAGAAGAATATAAAATTCGACTTAATAAAATTACCAAAATATGAGTCGACTGAATGTACCTAATATTAAAGTAATATCAGGTTTAAAAAATACAGAAAATAACAAGCAGGTTCCAAAAAAGGAACATAACAATAAACGCCATCTACATAAAAAAAAATGTTCAAGTCAAATACACTGTAAGGTGAAGTGGGGTAAATGTGATCTACTTTTTGATTAATTCAACTTTCATTTAATATAACACTAAAGAAACGTTTCAAAAATTTATCAAAAAAATCATATACTTTTTGAACGGTTTTGTATTCATTGTGTAGAAAAAAATTAAATAATCTTTAGTGTTGCTAATGTTTTACCCCAACATTTACCCCAGGGACCGGGACAAATGTGAAGAAAGTTTACATTTTTGTAGTAAATATTATATTTGATAGTCTGGGGTTATTGTATAAAAATGTAATTCAAGCTCTCTACTTGTGTTTTTTTAGAATTTATTTTGTTGAAAAAATACAAAAGAATTTAAAACTTTTCGAAAACAATGTCAGAACAAAGGAAACAAAAATATAATAAAATTAAACAAACACTCCAAGTTTTCTTTCAGTTAATGTTGAATGTTAAAGCCTTTAAAGGTAACTGGAAATTCGTACATTCCACGTCTGTCGACGATAGGATCTGGTAGTACTTTTATAATATCCTGTTGTAGTACAGTATCAGGATTTTGGCCATACAAATTTGTTTCCTTGAGGTCGTGTAAATTTAACTCATCATTCACATTTTTTGGTACAATTCCCACATAATGCTTGTTTATCTTTTTTGGGCAATACTTTACCAATACCCAACATCCGACATATACATTCAACTTTTTGATGAATTCAAATTATCTTTGTCTTTCTCGTCATCATTTGCAGCTATTTCTACTTCTGGCTCTGACTCCAAGTGTATCCAGAAACTCGTCGGTGTTATCAGAATCTTCTTAGTCATCTTATGCATTTTATTACCGTTTCCTTTTTGTTGAGATTTCTGTTTTAAAACATCAATAGTTTGTGATGTCAATACTTCAGATCCAGGGCATAATCGTTTCTTATTTTTGGTTGGTGCGTTTGGAAGTTGTTTTACTGTTGATAACAATAAATCTTCAAATGTTACATTCTTGGCTGGAATAGGGTGGCAGTTTTAGAATTATAATATGTTCTCGCATAGCGGCTTCTAACGTCTCAATATTCATATGAGTGGAATGTCCATCATAAATAATTAATATTGGCCTTTCAGATGAAAGTGATGGAATTATAGTGTTTATGAAGTAATTTTTGAAGACGGCTTTTTCCATCCAGTTTCTTCTTGTTGTTGCATAAAGAGTACCCTCAAAATCAGTACCTGGTGGAGCTATCCATTGATCCCATAAGTGTAAACCTTTATAAATTATTAATGGTGGAACTTTTTGGCCAGCTGCATTACACATAAGAGCAATTGTGGTATTTTCTTTACCAGGAGAACTTATTCTTCTTGATTAAGGTGTATTTATACCTCCCACAACTTTTTTCTTCCTGGGGTCAATGCACAAGCTACTCTCGTCCAAATTCCAGATTCTCTCAGGTTTGTCGTGAAGACCATATTCGTCCATTATTGATTTTAATAAATCATAAAATTGGTATGTTATAAAAGGATCAAGAGCCTCTTTTCGAGAGTATTCCACGTTTTGTGGAGCTTTAATACTTAATATATGCCTCTGTTTAAACCCTAAAAACCAATCTTCGCCTGGAACTTCATCCTTGAAATTAGTTTCAATATTGTTAGTCTTTACAAAGTTTCTTTCAATTTCTAATACTTCTTTACTTGATGGGCAGTATCCCCATGTCTCCATCGTTTTTAGACCAATGGCTCATCTAACTTCGTCAGCAGTAGAAATTGACGTTGGACGTCCTTTAGTTGCTTTTACTGATAAAATAATAAATTGATGTTCGACCTGCTAAAACATCAGACATTGCAGCGTTGAGATCAGCTGCCGAATATTTTCCTTCATTTGAAGTTTTTCTTTTGTAGCAGCGAATCATGGTATCTGTAACAAAAAATAAACCTTGTAAAACTTGCCATACCACTGTTTAAATTTTAAATTCAAGAAGGTATATAAACGAGCTAAATGTGATATACTAATGATAATTTTGTCCCAATTTGTAATAATGCATTTACCCCAACAACAAAATTCCAAGGGGTAAATTGGTTATAACAAAAATTTGAGGTTAATGTTAAGTTTTTATTTAAATAACCTACACCATAATGTTCTCCCAAGTTAGATTAAACTGCTCTTTCAATTAAAATTATCATAATGGTCTTACTTACCGAAAAAATAATATAATACTTTCCGAACGGGGTAAATGTATAACAATAACGAATTCTGTGTTGAATTCGAACACACTCGTCGCCTGGCTATCCCTACTCCTAAACTAAAATCTATTTTTGGATTTATGTAGTTTCTAGTGGTGGCTCACTAGACTAAGATATTTCACGTTCTGTCTAATAGGTGGCACACTCGTAATAATTATTTAAATAGCCATTTTTAAATGCACTATTATAAATTGCCCCATTATCACATCTTATATATTTATCACTTTCGGATTTAATTTTTAAGTACTTTGGCATAAAACAAACAGCTGATTTAAGGACTTTTTCTTTTCTTTTTTCAGCCTCCTGGACAACCCCTAATGAATAATATGGACCCCACTAGACAAGGTAAGTCTTAGTTTTGTTCGTATAATACTTTTTGCCTAGAATTTAACATTTCTGATAATATAATAAAGATTAACTTTAAAACACACAAATACTAGTGCAAAAAATTGACTTTTTGAAAACTAATCAGTAGGAAAATATAAACCTAAACAGCATGATTTCAGTGTGCATGGTAGAATCGTGGTTAAGACGTGTTGCATATAAGAACAATATATATCAAACGAGTTACTCGTAGTAGCAAAAGTATGAACTATTTCTTGTTCCAACAAAAATACAAAACTTTTCTAAACATTTGTGTTTTTACCTTATTTAAAGAAAGTCTTAAATTGCAATAATATATCATACATGAATTCATAAAGGCTCGACAAAACAAAATTATTTGCCACGGCAATGACAGCTATTTTGTTTATTAGAAGAAATGTTCTTAAAAAAAATAACCATTATGATATTATCACGAATATAGCTTATGTTATTTTTACTGCGTTACACATTTTACCAACAAATATTCACACATTTCTTATACTCTTGTAGTCTCGTGTCTCGTAAAATACACGTATTTTATTAAAAACTGAAAATTTTTAACCCTTTGCGGCCACATTTTTTTTTCCTCATTTTTTTCTAAAATAAAAGAAATTTTGGAAACTTAATTATATTAACACTTTTTCTGAAAATTTCAATTTAACCGTAAAAAATATTACAAAAAAGTATGGTTTCACCGTGAAACCATTGGGAGACAAAAGTCACTTATTCAAGGGTATGGAATTTTTGGAAACAATTTTTATTTTCAGATAAACACAGACCAATATCGCATGTTTGATAAAACCAACGAGTCCGATGAACCTTTTTTTGTACTGCATAACCCACATCTTCTTGATGTTTCACGAAGAGGCAAATGAGCCACTCTATCGTATCTAACTTCAATAGGTACATATTTTTTGAAACTATTTACTGCATGTTTTGGTCCCTTTTTGGGGTATCTGTATTAGCACCAATAAGGCCTGTAAACAACGGCTAATCGGAATTCTTTCAATGATAATGCACGTCCTGGACATCATTTCTTACTTTTTTTGTCTTTTACAACTGTTGGTGCAGCCACAGTTTCTTTGGAACCATTCTTCTGTCTTCTTTCTACAGGTACCATTTCAGTAGGATCATGAAAGTTGGACAAAAAATTAATCCCCTTCTTATCTTTCCACCTAGTGAAGACCATTTTATTGTAAGCCTGCCGCCAATCTTTTTCTTTTCGGTCCATCTGTTTTTCGTCTACAATATCTTGTGGCAAATTAGCACAATTAGCTCTTACTGTACCACATGCGTACATATTGTTCTCCAATAAATATTTCATAAGAGATACCGACGAAAAATAGTTGTCAAAATAAACCTTGTGTCCCTTGTCTACAAGAGTTTTTGTGAAATCTTTCACAACACGTTCACCTAAACCAGTTTCCACCTTTACGTTGTCTATTTTGCCAGTGTATATTTTGAACTTGTGAACATAACCAGTCACAGCATCAGCACGTACCCAAAGTTTGTACGCTCTTTTTATGGGGTTTTTGGGTATATACTGCTTCAAAGTGGAAAGGCCATTGAAACGAATCATACTTTTATCGATAGACTGATGCTCTCCTGGCTTGTAGTACTGCTGAAAAGATTCCAGTAGCTTTTCTAAAATCGGACGTATTTTATAAACTTTATCGTAATTAGGGTTTGGTGATTAAAACACCACATTTGACGACTTGAGAAAAACAGTCGGAAATTGGATACAGAAGGCGCAAGATAGAGAACAGTGGAAGAACATGGAGGAGACCTATATCCAACAGTGGATGCAAGAGGTTGAGGAATGATGATGATGATCGTAATTAGGAGTTCCTCTATCAGGCTGAAGGGAATTATCATTCAAATGTATATGCCCAAGTAACCAACTAAACCTGTTTCTGTTCATTATTTTCGAAATATAATTATCTCTCAAAATATCCTGTGAAGACCAGTAATTTCTGTAGCTAGGTGATGACTTGATACCCATAAGGATATTTCCTGCTAAAAATTCTAAAATTTCATGTTTAGATGTTGGCTTGAACGGTTTACCTTCTTGGGTCGCATACAAATTCCTTTGAAACACTAAATGTTGCAGTATATTTTCATTCATCAAGAGCAACAAAATTTCATGAGGATATTCTATTGTACTCCCAACAGATGGTCCTTGTTCTACATTGAAAGGAATAATAGTATTTGGAATAAATTGTTTATTCCAAATAAGTCCTGGATTTTTTTATATATTTTTCTTTTCTGTCACTTTAGATGTTTTGTTAGTATTTTTGGCAGGTTCATCTACCGTGCGTTTTCCTTTCGGATCACTCTTTTTTATTAGTTTTATTGGCATCTTGCGTGTTTTCCTCATCATCGTCACTGTCCTCTTCATCTTCGCTACTTTCAATTGTTCTCAAAACCTTTGGAGGGACAAGTGTAACACTCATAGATTTATTTCTGTTTTTGATTGATGAACATTCTCCTAATTTAGTGCTTGATAATATGGTGATGTCTAAAAGAATTTGTATTTTTTTTTGGTGATGTTCCTAGAATAGTACCTCGATGAACCATTGTTAAATCCTCGGAGTCACTATCGGAACCCGAACTAACAATTGACTTCTTATCTGAGGGTATTTCTGCCAATAAATCCTCCAAATCTTCTTCGGACAACATTTCTAGTTGCTTATAACTCAGCTTGTTACGTTGCATGGTACCTGAAATAAAGAAACTGTAGTTGTCCACTGGTTTCACTGTGAAACCGTATTTTTGATGTAACCAAAAATGATACAAAAACACATTTTTGGTTACATATTACATTCTAAAGAGTGAGTACAGGTTTATGTCAACTTACCCGTAATTATTTTTGCTATTTTTTATCAAAAAACAGTTAAAATTGTAACAACTCCAAACATGATGTTACATGTTGTGATACTACCACCATCATACCAAAAAAATTCTAACTACACATGAAACTAAAACATTTTAAAGTTCATCTATTGAAATTATAGATGGCACTGCTAGTATGGCCACGTAGTGGATCTAATGGCTCAGTTGAGCATATTGGTGTGATGAAATTGGTGGTTTTGTGGCAAAACCAATGAGCCGCAAAGGGTTAATCAATGTCTAAAGTATACAGTATACTATAACCTGTCTACATCAAATTTTATCGGGTGCATTCTTAACCACTTGACTCACTTATTCTGCTTCTTCATGTGCCTTGTCCGTTCCGAACGTTGGCAATCAACATGGCTATTCTGACTTTGTTTATGGCAGATCTGAATAGTTCAGCAGATGACAATCCGAACCATTGCCGCAAGTTTTGGAGCCACGAGTGTCTTCTCCTCCCTGGACCCCTTCTGCTATCTATTTTCCCTTAAACGATCAGCTGTAATACTCTATATTTATTAAGTCTCATAACGTGACCCAAGTATTCCAACTTTCTTTTCTTTATACTTATTTCTACCTCTCTCTCTTTACCTATCCGGCGTAGTACCTCTTCGTTGGTCACGTGCTCAGTCCAGGATATACGTAATATACGTCGGTAAGCCCACATTTCAAAGGCCTCTACTTTTTTCATCAATGTTGCGGTCATTGTCCACGCCTCCATTCCATATAACAAAACCGGTAATACATAACATTTCAGAAGTCGAATGTTGAGAGGTAGGATGAGGCTTTTAGAGGTAAAAATTTGCTTCATGCTAGTGAACGATGCTCTTGTCTTTTCTACTCTTATACGTATTTCCTTCGCTTGATCCCAATTTGAGTTAACTGTTGTTCCCAAGTAGATGTACGAATCCACGTGTTCAATTCTTTCATTGTCTAATATCAGTTGCTGTGATGGTTGTTGGGTTTTGCTTACTAACATCCATTTGGTTTTTGTGATATTTAGTCTGAGTCCGTATTGTGCACTTGTTTTTTGTTTCTTACTCATTAGGTAACTCAGTTCCTCCATGCTACTTGCTAGAATCACAGTGTCATCAGCATACCTTATGTTATTAATTATTTCTCCATTTTTCTTTATGCCTTCTGTGCTTTCCTCCAGTGCTGTCTTAAATACTTCTTCTGAGTATATATTAAAGAGAATTGGAGACAAGATACAGCCCTGTCGTACCCCTTTCTTGATCTCAATTTTATTGGTCAATGTAGATCCTACTTTCACTTTAGCTGTTTAATCCCAATAGAGACTCGCTATTGTTCGAATGTCTCTGTAGTCGACTCCGATCTTATGGAGAACTTCAATTATCTTTTCGTGCTTTACGTTATCGAATGCTTTTGCGTAGTCTATAAAGCATATGTACACGTCTTTGTTCATATTTCTGCAGCGCTGGATGAGTATCTGTTGACTAAAAAGTGCTTCTCTTGTCCCAAGAGAATTCCGAAACCCAAACAGCGAATCTCCAATGTTATCCTCGCATTTTTTGCTTATTCTGTTGTAAATAACCTTGGTGTATGCCTTCGAAATGTGGTTAATTAGACCTATCATCCAATGTTGATCACAAGACTTTGCTTTTGGTTTTTTCGGTATGGCAACAAAAATTGACTCTAGCCAGTCTTCAGGAAACTCCCCGCTGTTATAAATATTGTTAAAGAGTCTGACGAGTGAGTCTAGAAATTGACTGTTTGTTTCGCACAGCATTTTCAATACTTCCCCGTATACGTTATCGTTGCCTGGTCTTTTGTTATTTTTAAGACCCTTTATAGAATTCTCCACTTCTGATTTTAGAATAGAAGGGCCAGTATCATCATTGCTCAGTGTACACCCACTAGGACGGTCATCATTAAACAGTTGTTCCACATAAGTTTCCCAGATTCTAACTATTTGGTCGGGGTCTAGTTGTAGATTTCCATTATCATCGCATAGCCCTTTCGATAAAATATTGTTGCTTTTCTTTGTTGTGAGTTCCTTTATCTTCTTATGCCTATTGTGATAGTCGTATACCTTTTCGCACTGTTCGATTTCTTCGCATCTCTCCGAG